CTATAAACAGACCTAGAGAACATGCGAGTGAAGCCGCCAGCGGAGAGTTAGTACTTAATAATATTAACAAAAGCTGACCCGAAAGCCTTTGGACTATCCAAAATATCAAAGTAATCCTTTTTCACGACCATACTTAATAAAACAAAATATGCATATCCGTTTTCATAAATCGGGAGTTCCATTTATTTATTAATATGCGCCAGCTTGGAGACTACTAATTTACGTTGACACATTATAAATTGGTAAATTTCTCAGGATAATTTTGTAGTCTCCTTAATAAATACTATAAAAAATCGATTGCAATGATTCGTAGACTATTTAAAAAATAGTTTTCCTTTATTTGTTTTTCATTATTTGTTCACTTTGGTTTTAGAACCTAAATGGATATTGGGAAATTAATTTATGTATGTTTTGTTTATCTTTAAGAGTTTATATAATTAGTATAAGACCCTTCAATATTTCCGAATTTTATGTGTGAAACAAACCTCAGTTAGTAGTGAAATTTAATACAAAGCGCGATCGGTCCACATTGTCTGTAGATAAACCTAATAAAAAAATATAAAATAAAATAAATAAAAATACTTAGTAAAATAAATCGTTCAATCCTACTAATTATAGCAATATATATGTGAAAGATTGTAAGAATGGGTGTTTGTTACTTATTCTCGCAAAAACTACAGATCTGAATTCGATTGAATTTGGTACACAGATAATAAATATATAGACTACTTTGTTAGTCTTCGTGTAAATTACACGGGTGAAGCCGATGGCGAGAAAATAGTTAAGAATATATCTACTATAACTAAAAATGATCCGTAAATTAAATTAAAACTATTATTATTATAATTGTGATTTTTGTATTTGCAAATACAATTTGTATAGGTAACTATCTATCTTAATTTATATAACTATTTATCTTAAAAATATCTCTTAAAAATCATCTACACAAAATCAGGATATGAATGAATTTAATTTATACAAAAGTAAAACATTTATTTATTACCTATTTCTTTAAGCTTATTTAGTGCTGTTATTTGTTCTGTATCTTTATGTTTACTTTTTCTCCGAGAATATTTGTTACTATTTTAATTACGTTTGAGAAGATCCTTGATTAGTTTCAATTCACAATTAGAACCAATAAAACAAAGTTGATCTAGCCTGTTGTGTTTCATATGAATGAAATATCTATCTAAAAGATAGTAAAAAAAACAATAAATGTCTATAGCAAATGCCTACGTTACTACATTCGGTTAGCTAATCCCTCAGTTCGCGCACAACTGCAAACAACTGTGTAACCCAGCGCAGTTACAATGTTTATTTTGAACGTTTCAACATTCGCAAATCCCATTGCAATTTGAGCTTTCCAAATAGATTCGAAACTGTAACATATGAAAATCATTTAAATAAGCTTTAATAATATTGTTTGAAAGAATTGACATATTAAGATAAAATGTACTGAAGTATAAGTGATCTGCCTTTTTTGAGCTATTGTTTTGTTTATTAACTTGTACTGTGTAAAAGGTACAAACGAATTAAATACGTAAGCTGACGTAGCATCGCTTCCTTTTATAAGATGTTCTTATTCCTAATATACTCAACCGTTAACTCGAGCATAACCGTTTGATATTATCATCATCATCATCAGCCCTTTATTTCGTCCCCACTTTCGTACTTTTTCGTTTGATATTATATACAACGTAAAATACTATTTTAACTTTTTGATTTTTTTTGCAAAATTTTAATTAATGTTACTAGACATAGAAGCAATCAACCAAAGACTTGTGTTTAAACAATTATGCTTAAATATAATTAGGTGAATTATAACCTATGTATTAATTTATGCAAATCCAGGAATCAAATATTTTCACTAAACTTCCATAAAAAAAAATTAAGTACATAGGTAAAACATCTTTATTAAAACAAATGATTTCGTCGAGAAATGTAAAAAATCCATGGGGAAAAATGTGAATAGGTATATTTTTTAGGTAACTTTGGTCTTATAAACACTTAGGAATTAAAACCTATAGGTACCTCAATTTTACCTTGTTTCTTTGTCTCTTATTTATCAAGAATATTATCTAACCGAATTGCTGTGATTGACCAAGCGATTATTCGTTTAGGTCCGATGAATAGTTCCTCATTGTAGTTCGTTGTCCGGTCATGGCAAGCTTCCAACTCGCCATCCCGATAATATTAAATACTGACCACTTATCTAAGCAGCCGTCTAGATACCAAATCAGCACTATCCGACCATTTGATATTCAATATAATTTTGTCCCGACTCCAATGTGCGAACCTTAATTGAATCTATGAATTACGAACCGAGACCGTGTGGCCCTATTAAATACAGATATTATTATTCATTCAATTCGAAATCCATTAACTTATGCCCTATTCTTGAACGTTATTGCTTTACGCGACAGATTTCTTATTCGACGCACAATTTACTACTTACATATTAGAAAAAGATTAGATCATAAACTCGTTAAGTTAATATTAAAGAGAATTTATTGCTCGCAATTTGATCAAACACGAAAAGTCAATTAATATTTAAATATTTAGCGTCTGATTCCGTGAAAGTATAATTCGAATCCCCCGCAGTGTAACAGAACGCACACATACACCAAACAAAGAGAGCAAATGAAATTCATAAGCTGTCGACAAAATTTTAGTCAAATAAAGAAAACTTCGCAGAGATTGAGGTTTGAATTACGCCGAGCGTCGAATTTATTTAATTCTCATCTCGAAATTATTCCAATTGGAGAACGGGGCATTTAATTTTCGTAGCTTAGCGAGATCGCTTTTTAGTAAAACAGATTATGGTGTTAAGGAGAACCTATATTTTTTGTTTTTACTCAGTCGTTAATAATGATGTTTTGATGCTTACTACAGTTTTCATGTCATTTGTTTAAGACAGGGACTGAAAATATTCAAAAGCTGTTTTTAATACAACAGTGGTAAATTCAGAAAGTTTTCTCAAATCTTATTTAATTAGTAATTGGTAATTCTTAGTGCATCTAAATTGCGAATCACTGTAAAGGAATTAATATACCGTTGTAACGTAATTCAACGTCTAAACGTGGCTTATTCCTGATCACCAGGGTAATATAATTGTCGCAACTTATACTATCTATAATGATGAGCGAATGAATAAATAAAAAAAAATGTATGTATTTGACATCACTAGCTACTTAATTGTTTATGAAAGAAACATATAATAATCCATATCAGAGATAGAACACACTGTATATAAATTCAAACAATATTTAATATAATTTCTTTATTGCTCTGTGATTTAGCCAATAGTTTAATTATTTATGGATTAATAGCTGTGAAACAACATAACTTACACATAAAACTGTGCAATATTTAGAATTTAAAATAATTGCTTTGTGTAATGACACGTAATGTCGTTTATACTGGAAATAAACAGTTTTTTTTTAAATACATCAAAAATCGTCTCATAGAAGTGAAATGAAACTCAATATCGCTAAGATAGCGTATCCTTTAACTAGAGACATGACTAGACGATCGCACCCAGATCTCTTACGGGATAAGCAGAGAGAGCCGAGCACCACAAGACCGAGTAGTCAAAAGCTCAGATGTTTGACCATTCGACTTCACCGGAGTGTAATAATTTATTTAATCCCATTTCTAGTGCTTAAAGAGCATTTTAATTTCATTTGCGAGACTCTTACATGTGTCTAGAGATCACCGGATAACCTAAGGAAGAAACTCAAGGAACATTTCCAGATTCATGATGAAAACCTCAGACCCGCTCTGCAATCTAAAATCTACAGTGTGTTGAAGATTTCTCTTTCTAAGTCTAGATAGGTACTAGCTTCACCATAAAAGCTGTTGGGCTTTATACTAAGCTACCGTATGCTATTCAACATGTAGAAACAGAATTTGGCGGCATTTTACAAGTTTCTATTTAATTTTTAATGTATGTATGTGACGAGCGCGCGCTCGATCTGTGATATTGTTGTTAAGCAACTTCTCCAAGGGCCCGTCATAGAATGGGTGAATAAAATTTAATTATCTCAAGCTTCTCCATGGTTCCGATGGCACGTTAAGCACCGGAATCCGCAAGACCTAATTATTAAGCCTATAATTGTATAATTATAATTTATTACGAATCATTTAAGTCTCCCTTATTTATTAATTTACCCTATGTAAAGGGTATAATAACAACAAGAAATATACAGAAATTGTGAATTTTTACAGTTACTAACTTTTTTCTATAGAGTTTTTTTTTTAAAATTTACATTTCGGTTGTTATGCAACTTTTACATATATAATGTAGGTGGTCGTCGTTTAAAATTATATCTTATTTTGATGTTATCTATTTGCACAAAAGCATTTTCAAGATCCAAATGTAAAATTCATTTCATTTTCTAACTTTTATTCCCGCTAAATTGGTTTTATATTGAGTATGCTTTTTAAAAGGTGTAACTTTAACCTTTATCTGTATCGGAGATCTGTATCAAAAAGTTAAAACAAAAGAGTTTCATAGTAAGTCTTACGACTTTTTTTGTGTTGATCCACTACATCGATTCCGAAAGATTACATCGAGTATCGAATAACTCAATAGTTACAATTGGTGCGTATAGTTTTATTGGGTGTCATAATTGGCGAATGATTTTAAGAAATTAGACCGTATTTTGTGTACTATAAAAACGTTAAAATATACTACTGTGAATTGTCAACAAAGAATATTATCTTTCTATCGTTGCATTGATTCTGAACATAAAACCAATGAAATATGACACAGAATACCACATCATTCAGGCTTAAAATCGATTTTAGATATATGGCCTTTTATAATTAATAAATTACAATTGAGGGTATTTTGTGATTGATATTTATTCATTTTATTAAAAAGAAGAAATTAGAGAAAGAAATGCGATACATAAGCTAACATTACATATATTTATTAATTCTAATACGATACTAAATTCGCAAAAACAGCTCATTTTAAGTAAATATTTATTTTCTAGTGCCTGAATTGGGAGGTCTTGCCCGTCGTGCCGCTGGATGCTCCAGTGCGTTCTCAGCGCCATCTCCTGCTGCACATCATGAACCAGGTATGTGGGAAATAGCTGTTAGTATCACAATTAAAATTATTACATGTATCAAAATTACTAGAGGAACCAAGATCTAAGAAGAACGTGAAAAATCTATTCAGAAATATGGTTTAAAAATGAGAATAAATTTTCTATTCCAAATAAAGCCAACTGATCATTCTACATAAGGTAAAAGGTTTTATTCATGGAAAAAAAAACCCTTGCCTGTCTCACGATTATCCCATAAAAATGTAATATTATATTAACACTGAAGAAAAAAATATTTCTGTGATTCAAACACGTTTATGCTTAACATCAAACTACGTGTCAGTTTATCTCATTTTTCTATTAAACTAATGTTGTGTTTCGAATTGGATAGATAACAGCGAATATAACATCAAAAGTTTAGTAACAACTCGATTACCCGAACTGAAGGCAAATAAATATTTCCACGAAAGTTAGCACGTGTTCGTGAATTCCGTTTGCCAACAACTGGTGTAGGTATGATAGCGATATAAATAAAAGAACAAAAGAAAACTAGGGCGAGCCGAGTTTATGAAAATGTAAAGTATGTTAAATTATCTAAGTTAACGGACCTTTTCATAATATAGCAGCGATATTTACATAAATAATTTTATTTACCCCTTTAAACTATGTTTGCTATTTCTGAATAACTAAAATAACGGACTTAAACTATAACAATTATATTTCTTGACTAAATGAATCTACTAAATAAATTTAAACAAAATTTAGTTGTTGTATCTACAACACAATAGACACCAATCTCCAATCAACATCCAATTCAAGATACTATTGACTAATAATCTATGAAGATCGTAAAAATATACCTAATGTGAATTGCGGATTACAAATTACTGACATGCAATAAAATTATTATAAATATTTAAATCGATAGTGACAATTATGCAGAAATAAAAAAAAAATTGAAATAAAAACAAATACTATTACCCGGTCTTCATCATTCAAAAAAAAAATACTCGCAAACAACGAATAGCAGTCGTAAAATTCTTATACAACTCCGAAACTTTAGTTCATTTTGATGGTTCCGCCGCGTCGGGATAATTTCTGAGGTTATGCCAACAAAATGGACTACCGGAGTTAATGTTTTAAATGTTTAAAACACAAATTTCATATTTTAAAGTTGCGGGAAGCTGGATTTGTTCAAAACGAGGGCTATTAATTACTGAACCGTCTCACTTGCCAGTGCTGAAAGAACTTCCGAAAGTCCGCTCTGAGCGGTTGAATTAAAGCAAGTTACATCACTAGCTGCTTGTTGTTGGCGTTGTTAGCTTTTTTGTTACAATCTCCACCAAGCAGAAGTTCTTGGCATTCTCTATCAAGGCACAAATATATATAATCGTAAATAGGTATAACGCCTACCAAACGTGCCAATGTTATGGCCCTATTGATAAATTAAGACATAATAATAAAGTCCGGGCATATAATCTATTAATGGAAAAATAGATAATCATGATTTGAAATTCCTTAATTAATTAAAAAGAAAACACTTTTGGTGCTTATTATTAATCAAAGAAGATTAATTATACACTATCTGTTAAACACTTTCTACGACTACACGCGTAAATCATGACCTATAAGGACCCTCTTATTTAGCTACCCGTATATAAAACAATTTTCAAGATCAGATCAGTATTTCTTAAGATTATCTTCTACAAACAAACAAAAAGAGAAACTTCACCTCTTTCTAATATTAGTATAGATTCAGAATTAGAAACATTTCCACAGGTTCCTTGTTTTATGCCATTTGGCTTATCTGACAGGAAATGTGTGTTATCTGTGCCAAGAAACTTATATGTTTTACTTAAGCTTCTTGGTCCGTGCATTAAAAAAATATGAAAAGCATTCATAGACAAAAAGATTTTATTAAAATAAATTCGTGGACTTCCTAACACACGTAATGAAATCATCTCATTAAAATTTCAGATTAAACGTATGCAAAACAAACCAACAAGTTCAAAGGTCAAATCTGTAAAAATTTTGTTTATTTCTTTGAAGAAGCAATATCCATCAAGTAAAATAATAATGAAGAGGGTGCGTTCGGCCAATACGAGGGGAACTCCTTTGATAACTTTCGTATGAACCATTGTCGGAATTATCTAATGATGCAAAAGCATTTTTGTATACCAAAGTTAGATAAGATAGAACTCTTTCTTTGTTAAAGGAAAATAAACCAAGATGTTTTTAATGACTTATTATTATATGACTTGCACCCAGTTGCATAAACAGCCACTAAAGTTTAATCATCATCAGTCCTTTTACGTCCCCACTACAGGGGATCAGGCCTTCCTTATGAATAGTTAAGGAGGATGGGCCATGACCGTTCACGTTGGCCCAATGCGGATTGGAGGGTATTAACGACTGCAAATACAGCCGGGACCAACGGCTTAACGTGCCTTCCGAAGCACGGAGTAGCTCGAGATAATAATTTTTTGGTCACCCATCCCGTGACCGACCCTTGCGAAAGTTGCTTAATGACAAATATCGCGGGCCGCGGCGCTTATCCACTACGCCACAGAGCTACTAAAGTTCAATAACGATTTAAAACAGTTTAATAACGATTTAAATTAATTATCTCATGAATATTCTAAATTAGAAATTTTGTGTCGGTAATATTGGTAATCACTTAAAACTAATGACAATTTTAATTTACATGTATGCAACTGGTTGTTTATCTTTTATTTTATTTTTTAATTTGCGGGAAACAAAAAGGAGGGTTATGATTTTGGCCGTTATGTACTTGTTTGTAAGAATGTTCATCAGTTCCTTATAACTTCGAAACTACTTATCGTAACTGTAGAAATGAGATATCATTAAAAGCGTCTTAGTTGTCCGTGTACTATAGGCTATGTGACGTTACATTAAATTGGCAGCGGTGTCCTCTAAAGAACATAAAGTAAGAAACTTAAAAATATATATTATTCATTTTTTCAATGTAGGGTATCAAATGAAAATTAATTAATAAAAAACGCGTTCAAAAACTAAAACCCGACTTCAGCTTAATCACGTTCTAAAAGTTTGAAACAATACATTTATTTTATAGCGATAGCTATATGACCAAAAGACAGTGTAATAGTATGTCACTGATTATAACAAAACAATATGTTTTTCCATTTTATTAGCAAAATTATCGTACTCAAATCATTTCTCAGAGACATTTTCGTTGATAAAAATTGTATTAATAAATTATATTCTAAATTAAAATAATTTCATGATACGTCAGTACGTCATTATTACTTAAGCGAAATTCTTCCCGCTCACTCTCTTTTGACATTTGATCATATTCATCTGTGCTTCTATCATGAAAATTTTCCTGCTTTACCAAAATTATTATAACGTTAAATATTTGAAATAAGCGTACAACAAGGCTTTATTTCAGTGGATATTCTTCCTCTACTCTACTCAATGGAAAGTATTTTGAGATAAAAAATTTAGTTATACTACAGGTATTATATACAATAACCAGTTTTAATGTTCTTAACTCTTTTATTTTAGGACCTTTCTCAGAGACTTATTATTAATTGTTATTAAAACTAAAACAAATATTAAAATCTTTTACAATATTGTGCATTCGGTCTACGATTGCTGATGTCAAGAATTTTAGCATCTCCTCCGCATTTTAGAAAGCTGTTTGCTGATGTTGAATTTTATTGTAGCTGCTGTTAGCATTAACACCAACTCATCTGCACTGTGCCCGCTATAAGGAAAGACTGTGATGTACCATAACCGTGGAGATATATATTTTCAAACATCAAGAGGTGTGTGAGTCCCCTGGTAACTCGTTTACGGCTCCCCAGATTTCATTCCTCAGCAAGGGTACACAGAAGAGGTTACCTCCACTGTGTACACACGTGACAATGAAGAAGAGTTCCACTCATCCTCCTGTCGCTCACCAAGCACCCCATACAAATGAAAAAAGATCTAATCTTCAACATTGTCATTATATATGTTTAATATTATAATGATTAAACATTGTAATTAACAAAATATAGATTTTTAGTTAAATTATGTGTTATTACCAGAGGTCGGAATTAGGTAGAGTTATTTATGTACTTGCATCGAAATGTTGATATTAATGTGGACCTTCCCAGGATTTCTTTATTTCTTCTTTCTTTATTTCTTTCTTTCATTGATGTAAGTTTGGCAACGTCGTGCGTGCAGTAGTTTAAATTGTGTAAAAGTAAATAACTTTTTATTTAAAAAATCACGGGATTTTTTCTGCTCTTTAAAGTTAATGTCGGGATTTGAGGCATATCCACTTTATTCTTTCGCTGTGTGAAATCAGTGTAAGTACATGAATAACTCTACCTAATTCCGACCACTGGTTATAATATTAACCAACCTCAATGAAAATTATGAGAACCTCAAAGCAAACATTCAGAGTTAAATACAGACGAAACACATTCACTTGTGTTTGTAAATCGTAGCTCAGGTTCATAATGTCTACTTCTTTTTCACAATTCCCTACAAAATAGACCTGTACGTTTTCAAGGTGACTCGTTGAGCTCCTATTTGCAATAAACAAGTCCCCCGCGGTCCCACTACGTAGAACGAGTTACCAACTTGTTTGCACTTGCCGATGTTAAAACTGGAACTCGGTAAACTGTAGGATTTTCTCCTTTTCATTTTCTAACTCTCAATTATTATAGTTTACGAAAGAAATTAACACTTACTATTCTCGTTGGAGTTGAATGCTAAAACTGTAAAGGTAGAATTAAATTTCACCAAAGAGGGTTGAATAAAATGCCTTTCTATAATTGTTTTGCAAATATTTTAGACTTTCAAATTAAGATGAATATGCTTTTATGACAATTTATTTTTAATTAGTTTTAAATTCATAATACTCAATAGAGAAAACTTCAATATATTAAGTCATAAATAGTAACCTAATACGAAAAGATAATTTGTTATATTTTTCTGACGAAAATAAATAATACATGTATAATCACGTACAATAATATATAATTACGAAATAATTCAAT